AAATCAAATAAATAAATAAATAAATAAATAAATAAATAAATAAATAAATAAATAAATAAATAAATAAATAAATAAGATTCAGCTCTGTCAGTTTGAACCTGCTTTCATCTGTGACCAAAGATTAATGACATTAAGCACTTTACGTAGGCTGTTTGTGGGAGAATCAGAATGACTACGCATGGAAGCCATGAAAGCTGACAACCTTTTGAAGTGAAATCCCACATCTACCACAGCCTTCACACCATCAACATCCCCTCCCACTGAGCAAAGGCTAAATTAGTTGCACAGTGCCCCTCACTGGTCATTTGGGAGTCTGAATAAGTGGCTTCCTGCCAAACTTCTCCTCAGGTTTTATTCTGTTCTGCTATGGTGCTTTTCTTTAGTATCAATTTTTCCCCTTTTAAGTGTATATTTTTGCAGTAAAGAAAACATCTATCCAAACTAGAATTTGAGTAGGATTGCATGGTGCATCTTCTCCTCCAAAGCTCTTAATTTAATTTTCAAAAAAGATAGCTCAGAGGCTGAGGCATCTGACTGTGTAGCAGCTACAAGCTGGGAGTTTAATTCCCCTCTTTGCCTCCTTGACAGAGGGCCAAACTCAATGATATACCATATTTTACTGTGTATAAGACTATTGTCTAAAATCTTTAGACTAAAAATTAAGGGTCATCTTATACACGGAAGTAAGCTGAGGAGAGAACAAAAACAAGTGGAGGGGAAAGCAGGGATCAAAGTGATCCTGCAGGGCTTTGATCCCTTTCCCCCTACACTTGCTAAGCCCCACTTAGGGGGCCAGACTCAATGATATACCATATTTTACTGTGTATAAGACTATTGTCTAAAATCTTTAGACTAAAAATTAAGGGTCATCTTATACACGGAAGTAAGCTGAGGAGAGAACAAAAACAAGTGGAGGGGAAAGCAGGGATCAAAGTGATCCTGCAGGGCTTTGATCCCTTTCCCCCTACACTTGCTAAGCCCCACTTAGATTTCTTAATTTTGGATTTAAAAAGTAGAGGGCGTCTTATACATAGGGGCGTCTTATACACGGAAAAATACAGTAATCTTCATCAGATTAAAAACCATTTCTAAGGTAAGTTCTTAGACATTTTGTTGAAGCCCTTTTTGGGCTTGCAGTTTTCCTCTCTCTTCCTGTCATACCTATCCCATCCTTCCCATGCTTTTCATTGCATTTGTCAAATGATTTTCTCTTTCGTGACAAGCTGCCTTCATTTTGTATCCATTCCCCAAACATGGTTTCAAGACTTTCCCTCTGTGTTCAATCCCATTCTTTCCTTCTCCTTCCCCTCTTTTGGTTCTCCCAGGCAGGAAACCAACTCAAAGGCTACTAAGACACTCATCATTGTCGACCAACACGAGGATGCTGTTCTGCAGAATCTTCAGCCTTCTCCTGGCCTCCACCAGCATTGTCTTCCTCTTGATGGCACTGATCACCGATTACTGGATCGTGGCCTACGGACCAAGTGACATATCACACAGTGGGCTCTGGCAAGAGTGCGTAAATGGGAAATGCTTTGTCCCCAAAGTCATTGATGGTAAGAAGCACAGAGGCAAGGTCTCCACCATATCATAAAGATTCCCAATGTGGAGTCAAAGAGTCAAGCTAGTTTTTAGAAAAGCTCCCTCCTGCAAGTTTTGAAAGATGTCTGTTGTTCTAGTGCATCATTTCCTACCACTGCAAGCTCCATCCTTTTCTTTTTCAGAACTGGTATCTTGAATTTCAGCTCATCAAGGGCAAATGCCTTCACACCACCACTTATAGGGCTCCGTGGTGCCACCAGGATCTTTGAGAACATCCACGTTCACAATTGTCAGGATTTAACATCCTAAATTCAGTTGTTAATCCCATTCGGAATAGACCCACTGAGCTTGGTAAATCAATGGTTATGTAAATTCCATTGATTTGATGGTTTCGTGAAGTTGGGACTCACAACTGGATACAGTTAGGCTTAACTAGGTGTTTACCTTTTTTTATTCCTTATCATAGTAAAACACTAAAAAGGTAAACCTTGCTTTGGTTGTTTGTCTTACAGGATACATCACAGCAACTCGTTTCTTCCTGATCTTGGCCTCTGTGGTGACCCTGGCTGCCGTCATCTTTCCTTTCATCTCCTTCATGCCTTTCAATTGTGGTTATGTAGGCAGACCTTTCATTTCTTCCATAGCTGCCTTTGTGGCTGGTAAGTATTTCCAAAAGCATGGTGAAGCTTCTCTGATCATGGAGGAACATGATGTCTTTGGGTCTCACTTTACAGATAACAGTCCTATGTTTGAAAGCCTGCCGAATCCCTGATTCATCATGAAGTCCTTAGCCTTGGGGGCATTATCTACTTCACAGGCTTGCGATGTAGTCCTTGTGGGAGGATCGAGTCCCGAATCCAACTGCTTGTCTGAAATAGGACAGAACCATTGAATGAACTGCTCATTGGGAAGTCACTATTTCTGTAAATGTCACTGGTCCCTTAAGTCTGCTGGTAGCAGTAGAGTAGATTCAATGGGTCTGCTCTAATAGAATAGATTCACTGAACCAATGGGATTTACATAGATCTTTATTTATTGCAGTGGTGCCTCGTTTAACGATTGCTTTGTTAAACGACAAAACCGCTATACGATGAACTTTTTGTGATTGTTTTTGTGATCGTAAAACGATGTTCTAATAGGAAAAATTCACTTTGCGAAGATCGGTTCCCTGCTTCGGGAACCAATTCTTCGCATTACGACGATTTTAAAACAGCTGATCGGCGGCACTTTTTGCGATTGTTTTTGCGATCGCAAAACGATGTTCTAATAGGAAAAATTCACTTTGCGACGATCGGTTCCCTGCTTCGGGAACCAATTCTTCGCATTACGACGATTTTAAAACAGCTGATCGGCGGCTTCAAAATGGCCGCTGGCTGTGTAAAATGGCTCCCCGCTGTGTTTTTGGCTGGATCCCTCGCTTTACAGGCAGCGAAAATGGCCGCCCCTGTGGAGGATCTTCACTGGACAGTGAGTTTTCAGCCCATTGGAATGTATTAACCAGATTTTAATGGGTTTCAATGGGTTTTTTATTTGCGCTTAACAAGGATTTCACTCTACAGCGATTTCTCTGGAATGGTTAATCCTTTTTAAGCAAGGCACCACTGTATTTAGCAATTGGTTCAACTCCAGCTAGGACTCACATACACTGACTTACTTTTGAAAGGAAACTTGGTTATACCTTTGTCGTGAAAAAAAAATCACATTGCCCAAAACAACATTGTTTACACTTGGTTCCTTCAAAGCTCTGTAAAGAAGCAGATGGGAAAGAATCAGTGATATGTGGCCTGTGCTGAACCCTATAGGAGTCTTTGTTCCCATTCTCTTTTACTATTGTTATTCCTGCTCTTCCGTAGGATTCTTCACTCTCATCGCTGTAGCTGTGTTCACCAGTGAATCCTGGGGAAAGAACAAGGATCCTCAAATCCAGGTCACCTTTGAGTGGTCTTTCTACCTTGGATGGGCAGCCTTTCCTTTGCTCCTATTGGCTGGTAAGCTTACCAATTGAAAAGGGCTGAATTAGATGCAGAGAGAGTCAAATATTTAGGGAAGTGAGTGTGATACAAGGATGTAGCTTATACACTTATTAGATGGATTTGGAGAAACAAAATGAGCTTGTTTTCTTATTTTGACTGGTCATTGGAAGGTAAAGACAGACTTCACCTGATTACTCAGACATGGAGCTTTGGAGGAATTGTGTTTTAGGAGGGAAAATTTTATGATAGCATTTTCTTTAATGCACCACTTACTGCTCATTCCCTTGTTTTTCTCTCTCTCTCTCTCTCTCTCCCTCTCTCTCGCCTTACAGGTATATTCAGCCTTATTGCCCACTTGCGCTCTCCACAGTCTGGCTATGAATCCATGTAACCCTCTGAAAACAAAGTACTCACAACAACTTCACAACAAAGCCACAGTGTGCTAATAGGAGACTTATTTCTGCTTCCTTCTTGACAGTGAACTCCCCAGACTATTTTGATATCTTCCGTACAAAGTTTAGAAATGTTACACCTTAAACCTATCATTCCCAAATCACACAGCCAGCATGACCACTAGTTGGGGGATTCTGGGAAGTGTAGTCCAAAAAAAGTAGTATTTTAAAGCTCTTTATGGCAGGCAAGAAAAGGAGTTGGAGAGGTGATAGATAGATCTAAGGTGCCTTGCAGATCTTGGATTCATGAGTGCACCAGCATGTCAGCTTGCTTGTCTTAAGGTAGATGACAAAACACCCATCAAACGGAGGCATTGTCTTGAATTCAAGCACTAGGAATTCCATTCAGTCCAAGGTGCCTTGCAGATCTTGCATTCATGAGTGCACCAGCATGTCAGCTCGCTTGTCTTAAGTCATCAAACCAAGGAATTGTCCTTGAATTCAAGCACTAGGAATTCCATTCAACGGAGTGAGGAGGCTGGCAGACAAACGCCAGAGTACTCCATTTCCCATGGACCTAGCACAGAAACCGAGCATTTAATTAGATGAGTCCCAAGGGGGCATGGTTAAACTCCAGTACTGCAGCCAAGCCTCTACTTAAGACTTGAGTTTGATACCAATGGCTGAAAGTTGACTCAGCCCTCAATCGAAGGTCCATACATTGAGTACCCAACTTGCAGGAAGGGCAAATTATTGTTCACTTAATTATGTTCTAAACTGCCTAAAGAGTGTGCTAGCTGCCTAGAGTGGTCGTATAGACCAGATGGGCAGGATATAAATCAAATCAAATCAAATCAAATCAA